AAAAAAAATTTAAACGGAGAATAAAGCGGAAAATGACCTACCCCAGGCCCAGCCCGCCTTAAACAAGTAACGAGGCAGGGAATTTCTTAGCGGGGCGGGGGGCCATCCCTATTCAGGGCTGGTGACCGAGCTCGGGTTCTACACACTTGAACTCATCAATACTAAACAAATATTTCATGATAATTATGCTTTTTTTGATTGTCATGGAATTTCATGATTGTGATTCTTCCTCATCTCACATATATACAATGACTATGGTGTGTTACGTGCTGAAAAAAATTGCCCTCAAGGGCTCCATATTAGCCCCAAAGCATACAATTAGTTGAAAACGAAGACTCCACGCCAGCCTCAAAAGGGCTCATTACATGCCAGTGTGTCCATTTGCATTTACATCAGGGTCGTTGAGGCCCACCCAAAGCATAAAATGTCTTGACCATCGAAGCACCATCTAGTAAAGACTGATATAATCTGAACACTCGAACTAAAGAACAATTAGACACCATGTCCAAACGGAGAAAATAAAGATCTTTACTCAACCTTGAACATAGACACCATTTTTTAGTGCGTTCTGACATAATCAAATCAGTGTAATCATCCATGCAAACACATGCGTGTACATAACAAATAATATGACGAGTATCACGTAAATGCAAAAATCAACCAAAATAATGTATTTTGGAATTAATTATGACTTGTAGCATAATGATGAGACTCACAAAAATGACTAAAAAAGTCCTAAAAATTGTATGCAAAGTCATTAACACAATAAAAAAGAGTTAAAAATAAGTGTCGAAAAGGAAGAAAAGTCTTAGAGATCCAATATTTCACCCTAGAATCCGCATCGGATCAAGGCAAAATGAGTGGTGGCACTCTTTAAAATGTCAGTCCAAATGTAGTGCTCTTTTCTCGACACAAATTCGTCGGAAACTTCTTTTTTCTTCCTTCAAATAAAAAGCTTCCCAAATACAACCCCCCACCCACACCCAAAAAGTGTGGCGAAACCGTGCCTAAATTTCAGCTGGAAAACTTTACTTTTGACATTAAAAAATAATTTCTACTTACGTGTAGCTACTGATTCTGCATTTGAAAGTCATATGATATCACTTTCAATTTAAAAAGTCACACATGTAATTTTGAATTTTTAACATAAATCTTTGGTTGATCTCGCAATTTTTTATAGGAACAATTTAAATTGATATCAACTTCTTTTATTAAAAATATCAACAACAGTTCAATTCCCAATTTGGGTAGGCTAGAAAATCAACCAGATTTATAAGCTTCAATCGACTTTATCTAAAATTCTCAAAAAAACTGGTAGCGATACAATGAGAGGACCTCTTTTTTTTTTTTTTTTTTCAATGTATAGACTGAGATTCATTGCACTTTACAGATAGAATGTGGCTTTCCAAGACCCCAACAAAATCCTCGTACATTTGATCGGAGAAAGCCGAAGTCTCCCGAAAGTGCATGTCTTCTCTCAAGCAGAGGTGCCACTCTTCAACACGGTATTCTGTGCACTTC